GAGTGATTAACTTTTCAGTCTAGGACCATGAAGGGAGAAGAGCAGAGAGTGGGACCCTACCCAGAGAAGCAGTGATGCCTGAGATGGAGGCAGAGATGATGATGTGGAAAGATGGAGCAGTTAGGGACTTTAAACACAGAGAAGGAGAGGGGCTGTGTGCTTTAGTTGATAATACATGGAACAGATTGTAACCATGGCAATGAAATGATATACAATAGGATGTGACCCCCTTCATAGGTCCCTTTTCCAAAAACAGCCTTTCTTTCGAGTGCTTCTCCTATGTGGTGTGGCTAAACAGTTATCTAGGAGAACTATCATTTAAACCCATGTAGAATGATTTGCCTCAGCTCAGCACTCAGCGGGTCCACACTGAAGACCAGTTTAGGGCTGCTCTCACTTCCATGACCACACCCACACATGGGCTGCAAACATTTTTGTTCACATGTCCCCTAAAGAGTTGTCCTAATTTAAAATCTCTCCCAAGGATGCAATTGGTAGCATATAATAATATTATCATTCTTAAACAAAAGTGATTTATCACTCTGTTAAATATATCCATTTAAATTCAAATATCATAATTCACTTTACATCACAGAAAAAGTTCCTTCTCATTTCCCTGAAAACAGAAGGGGTCCTAGACCTCACTGCTAGACCTCTAGTCCTACTCTAAGACCTGGGGAAGTCAGGGAGGGCCAGACAATAACTGGGAGATCTGGGAAGGTTTGTGGGTATCCCTCAGAGGGACTCGGAAAGGAGAAGAAGGTGTCTGGGTATAGTTGATAATGCCTCCATGAAAAACACTGTCCAGAAGTAAAACTCCCAGGGTGCAGACCATGAGAATTCTAAGCAGCACAGTTTTGAGTTCAGAGGCCAATTTGACCAGTGGTCTCAGGGTGAGGCTCTGGGAGACTGCCAGCCCAAATGGAGATTGTGGCAGACAGAAGTGGTGAGAATGAAATGTGAAGTGTCCCTAGTCAAGTGGGCCAGGGTGGTATTGTTGTTAAGTGCTGTCAAGTTGGTTCCAACTCATAGCAACTCTGTGTAGGGTTTTCAAAGAGCAGCTAGTGAATTTGAACCACCGAGCTTGCATTTCAAACCAAACTTGCAGTCCAGTGCATTATCCCACAATGCCACACCGGCGGTACCACCATAAAATGAGGAGAAAAGGATTCTGTTGATCAACAGAGGCATATATTCACAAGGTCAAAATGTGGTCCCTCAGTGTAAATTTGGATTTTCAATTCTTGCCTTACATTTGAAAAGTGAAAATTTTGGGCTCTGGCTCCTGCAAAATCTGAGGAATTGTCAAACGTAACTGTACCTCCTTCTGGGGCCCTACCGGTACCCCATGTCGAGGCTAGAAATCAATGTGCTTTTGTGTCATTGCTGGGCTTGTCCTTGCTATGGGTGACTTGCATCCCCAGGTAAGACACTCTCATGTGTGTGGAAGCCCAGGTGCAGGTGGCTGCAGGCGCTAGACACTCAGGAACATCCTCACCATGGGATCCCTCTTCTGCCTGCAGGAATGAATCTCACCCTCCAAGTCCCAAGTGAGTTTTCCCTGGGAGTTTCTGAGACTTCTTGGAAAGTGTGTGTGATACTGTGACAGGGGTATAAACCACACATATGGGGTCTTAACCCTGACTGCCTTTCTTGAACTTGAACATGCCCAGCTCACCACATTGTAATTCTGGGGAATTGGGTTCCACATGGCTCTGAGGGAGAGCGGGCGAGGATACAAGTTTTAAATGCAATGTGTTCCTTTTCTTACTGGACTTCCCATCATTACGATGACTTCTCCTCTAAATTTCACACTAACCTTTTCATGAATGGATTCTTTGTGCTTTTAGCAATTTCTCTCACTTCAAAACCATTAGTTCAGCCTAACCATGGCCTTTCTCTTCTTTAATTCATTATTGAGCATTTTAGTATAAAAAATGATGGATTTATTTCCAGAAACATGCTATTTGTTGGACTTGGAGCTCCTGAATTTCCTTATAATGCCTGTGCTGTCCTGTGCTTGTGTCCAACAGCAGCTGGGGGGTCACTGGTGTCTCTTACATGTTGTTGTTGTTGTTGTGAAGTGCCGTTGAGTTGGTTTTGACCCACAGCAATCCTGTACAGGGTTTCTAAGGAACAGCTGGTGAGCTTGAACTGCATACCTTGCAGTTCAAATGTCTTTGCAGTCTGGCACATTAACCCACAGTGCCATACCAGGATTCCACATACAGCCAGTTTAATCTTCTCTTGGGCTCTCAGTCCCTAACTAAGCCATAGGTCTTTTGTGGGGTATTATGGAGGCCTGGCTATATAGTGGCTGGTCTGCAGGATGTGGGAGGGAACTGGTTCACTTTCTCCTCTGGGTGCAGCAGGGTCCCACCAGAACACTCTCTCAGCTCCTCCTGGGAGGCAGTGTACCCACAGACCTTCAGCACCACTGTCAGGGAACAACACAGGCTCTGCCCAGCTAATTGGCAAAACTAATTATCTCTAAACTGATGCCCCTTCTATTGCTTTAACTCTTATTGTTGTTGTTAAGTGCCATTGTGTTATTTCTAATTCATAGTACCCTGTATATGGTTTCCAAAGAGCACCTGGTGAATTTGAACCACCAACCCTGCAGTTCGAACCGACATTTCTGTCTAGTGCTTATCCTACAGAGCCACACCAGGACTCCACTCCAAGAAGTCCTTAACTTACACAGTGTTGAGCTAGAATTCATGCCCAGACCCTACTCCTCTAGAACCTTAGCTGTTAATTACCATAAATGCTACATTATTAAGCCTACCTCCAACACCACTGATTGCAGTCCACTGATCCTAGTCCTCTCCATGAATTTTCCCCCTAAACCTTTTAGAAAAGGATGCGTTCAACAAGGATGAATTAAAATAAAAACAAAGAAGCAAAATGCAAATGTAAGAATGTTTTCTCTTGCCATATGTTACCTTCTGCCTCATTACTTCCCAAGAAGCATGGAGACAGGGAAGGATTTGGGCTGTAAGAAAACAGAGAAAAGGAAGCCAGCTCTTAAAACAAGCTTCCCATACGGAGGCTGAACAACGAGACAGATAATGGTGAATAGCCAAGAAGTCAGTTAAAGAAAACCCACAAAGTTATGTGCATAAATTACCATTCTTTGAATTCAACATCCAAGACAAGGATAACAGCATTTTAACTTAGAAATTGTTTGAGAATTTTTCCTGTTCAAGCCAATAATGTTGAAATGACAAGATCTGAATTGAGAAAGATGGTCAGGGAATTTTCAGTCATTAGTTATATATTTCAAGTTTTGATGTAGTTCTAGAGGAATATACCAACCAAACCCAGAAGCCACTGCCATGGAGTCAATTCTGACCCTGCTGTTGTTATGTGCCGTCGAGTCACTTCCGACCCATAGCAATCCGGCATAGGATTTCCTAGGAGTGGCTGGTGAGCTAGAACCACCAACCGTGCAGTTCAAACTGACTTTGCAGTCCTGCGCATTAACCCACAGCACCACACCAAGACCCCATTCTAGCACATAGCAATCCTAGAAGGGTTGTCTGCAGAAGCAGGATGAGCGCCCACAGCGTCTCCATCTACTGCCCCCTAGAGTCACGGAAGCAAAAGAACTGGGGAGTAGAGATGAGAAGAGTACAATTTACCTTCCAATCACACTCACTTGCTGGACATGCTGGTTTGGAGAAGGGGTGTAACAGGAAACAAGGCAGGATAGCCCAGCCCCTGGACTTAGTGGAGTAGGTAAATTATAATACAGTCACAGAATAGATATAGCATTAAACTGCTTAGTATAAAAGCACAGAGGAATGCTTGTATTGGGGTAGCGCAGTGCTTACAAGTCGGGCTGCCAACCTTAAGGTCAGCAGTTTGAAATTACCAGTGGTTCCATGGGAAAAAGATGAGGTGTTCTGCTCCCATAAAGATTTACAGCCTCAGAAACCACGTGCAGGGTCATTATGAGTCGGAACCAACTCCATGGTACTTAACAACAACATATTTATTGAAGTATTATAGCAAAAGTTTCCATGTCGTTGAGTAAATTTTCATGTAATTCATTTCAAGTCATTGAAAATGCTCATGTCATTCATAAGGGTGTGTAATGGCACACCCTTTAGACTCTCAGGAGCTCCAGATCCATGGCATTCTCCCTGGCCATCCCATCTTACCCGATCACAGTTTCAGGTCAACAGCTGCCTTCACTGTTACAGAAGAGGAAAGTTCAAAGGAACAGGTTCACATTTCTCATCGAGCCCCAGATCTGTTTATCACCATATTGAGCTTCATTTATCTCCTCAGAGAACCTGGGTCCATTTCTAGGGCTCCAATCCTGAAGCAATCTCATGAGCTTACCCATGTTAGAGACAGAGTTCACACCCGGAGCATGTCATTCATCCTGGGTGGCATAGAGAGCATCACTGACTCCCCCCACAAGCATGTGGGCTCTCAGCCACAAGTTTTCGAACCACCAGATAAGGTAAGGGCTGACAATTAGAAAGGCACCTGATTCTCCATTTGAAGGAATAATGATTAAAAGCCTTCAACCATTATCTGCCTTTAATGTCTCCCAATTCTTTACACAAAGAGAAACAAAAGAAGAAAGAAGAGAGAAAAGGAGTGATGAAGTGGATGGCAGGAAAGAGGAAGTAGATGAGGGAGGGAAGAAAGAAAAGAAGGGAGGGAAGGAAGGAAGGAGGAAAAGAAGGAAGGAAGAGAGAAAGAAAGAGAGAGAGAGAGGAAGAAAAAAAGAGAGAGTCTTTCCAGGGAGAGCAACAGCTTGTCATCAGTCACTTGGGACCACTCACCCTCCATTGTGAGTCTGGGCTCTCAGCACTCTCTGCCCTGGACTCTACCCACCTGTCGCCTCAACCCAGCAAAGTAAGAATATCTCACTCTCTGCTTCCTCAAAGGAAGAGAAGCTCCAGACTGCATGCTGGCTGGGAGTGAAGCCCTCTGCATCAGAGTCATGCAACTCACCATGGTGGTGGTGAATGGGATGTTGTCAATCAAGGATGAGGCTGTGGCTGAGACCCAGACCACTAGCACGATAGCTGTGGCCAGGCGCCGGTCCTGGGGGACCATCTGGAAGGAGTAGATAACAACAAAGCTCAGACCTACAAGGTAGCCGTGTAAAAGTAGCTGCAGTGTTATATCACACACATTTAGGGTTTAATTCTGTAGACTCATGAGATTTAGAGAGGACCTTCTTCTTAAACATCAGACAAAGGGAGAGACAGGTTCTGTGGCCACAGAGTGTTGAAACAGGGCTTTCCTGGCTCCTTACAGAACCCTCCAGGTTTCCATGAGTAAATGAGGGGGGAGCAATTCCAAAATCACCCTACATCCTCCTAGCCCAGTCAGGAGGAAAGTAGAGCCACCTCTCCCCTCACCAGCACCTGGTAGAGACATGCATTGTCACTCTGACCTGAACCCCAGAAGAGCATGGAATAGGGACTCTGTGTGGCTATTAATGCACTAGACTGCAAAGTTGGTTTGAACCACAAGATTGGAGGTTCAAGCTCACCAGCTACTCCATGGAAACCCTATACAGGGTTGCTATAAGTCAGAACTGACTCGACAGCACTAAATAACAACAAACACTCATTTGCCCAGAGAGGAGACTGAGTTGCTCTCCTTAGATATTTTTCATCAAAGGCCAATAGCAAAATAGTAAGAACTGTAATTATAGATTCTTTGAGAAATGTTTCCCTTTAACTCTTCTCATGAGAAAATGGTTCCTACAGTAATTATTTTTACAAAATTCACATTTCATATTCATGACAATGTTTTGCAATATCAAAGTGACAAGGTCTGAAGCACATTCTAGTACAGCATTTAATATACCTTTATTAACAAAGCAGTCTGTTCTCCAACATAGTCTATTAAGTGGAGATGGGCCAGTGCCTAAGAAAAATGGACATATGGTGAGAATCAGGTTAAATCTGAGACTATATGCAAATTTTAAAGCCATGTCTTCAAAATCAAAATAATTGGATAGAAGGTAGAGTCAGCCTCTTGCTTTTTATAAATAATCAAACCCAAATGCAAAGTCTATAAATAATTTATTATTATATGTACAGACAGAAGATTCATCAAGAAAAATCACACAATAACAGAGGCAGGGGGTTCCTCACTGATTTATATTAATATCCACAAGCTGTGGGATAAAACACTGGACCACAAGGTCAATTTGAACCACAAGGTTGGCAGTTCAAACTCACCAGCTGCTTCTTGGAAACCGTACACAGGGTCACTATGAGTCAGAACTGACCCAAAGACACTTAGCAACAACAACAATATCCACATTAAAATAGCATGCAGATGAAAGGAAATCTCTAAGATCAGTGCAGAGGAGTACTGTTCAACTGTACATAATGAAATCTATTACATTTAAAGGGTCTTTCAGGTAAACTGCATTTCCAATTTCTTTTTAAAGTTGAACATCACAGAGCTTAAGTACTAAAAAGAAAATGTTTGGGTTTTATAACCGCCAAAGAAAGAAAATAGAGGTCTATTTAACTGAAACATGGAACTAACTCCACAGTACTGGACAGCTTCATGTCACTATATTATGAGAAAGAAAAGACAAAATAAAAGGAAGAAAATGACAGCACAGGAACCTTTATGCTAAACTTGTCACCACGACCAGCAGCAACAGGGAAGTTCAGGATCAAAGAAGGCCTAGGACAGGCCAGCACTGAAGGGAAATCTTGTAGGAGTGACCTGGAAAGACAAAGCTATCCAGAACCTGTGAAATTTGACCTTTTCACTTTAATTTGATTATGCTCAATGGCTCTCAAATTGAAAACATCCATTTGACCATGTTTAAATATAGGTTTTTAAATTCCCAGCTTTAAATATGGTTTTCCTTTGTGAAATACTAAATTCTATTTAGAACTCAGTTTCAACCTTGGTGCTAGTGACATTTTGACAAGGTAATTATCTGTTGTGAGGAGCAGTTTGTGCATTATAGGGTATTTAACAGCATCTTTAGTCTCTGCTGACGGATCTTAACAGAACCTCTCCTCCAAACACTACCAATGTCCCCTGAGGTAAAAATTCATTCTCTTTTGAGAATCACTTATTTAGAGCAATCCAACACTTATTAAAAATAACAAAATATTTAAGCTTGAAAACAAATCATTGTGGCCATACCTCTTATTTTGTTATTTGAGGGTAAGTCAAAAACTACTTGTATAAGATCATAAACATTTTTATTATACAAAGATATCAAAATGTGAGACTACTATATCTTTACACATCCTCCAACTAAGTCTGTACACTTCTGAAAGCGGTGTTTCCATTCGCTAATCCTTTCCCAGAGAATTATGATCTCCTTGAATTCCACCAGCTCAAAACGTCAGGTTTGATAACCTTAAGAAATTCTAGTCACATTTCTTTTAAATGTTCTTTGAGTTTGGGGAACAAAAAAAGTCTAAAGGGGCAATATCAGGGCTTTAAGATACATGGGGTAAGGTTTACCAATGAAATTCCCACAGGACAGACCTTGCTACTCTTGGAGAATGAACAGGTGCATTGTCATGATGGGGGGAAAAAAATTCTCAGTGCACCTTATCTGGCCTTTTTCTCACCAATGCCGTTTTCAATTTTCTTAAAACTTCTTCATGATAAGCCACCGTGAGAAAATCTGCCAAGATTACCACTTTAGAATTCCAAAACACAGTTGCCATAATCTTCTAGCTGATCTCTCTAACTTGAATTAATCTTTTAGCTCTTTATGACCTACTTTAAAACACTTGATCCATCCAAAAACTGTTGTTTAATTAGAGGCATAATTTGCATACAATTTTTTTGCAAAGCTTAAATGATTTGGAAAGATATTTACTTGAGTTTTGTTGAAATTTGATATTAGTTCTACCATCAAAATCATTTTTTTTTCCATGACACAAAAAGTATCCTTTTTTTTAAGGCACCCTGACAAAACTAAGGCATTCTGGTGTGACGCTGTGGGTTAATGCACCAGACTGCATAGTCATTTGAACTGCAAGGTCAGTGGTTCAAGCTCATCAGCTGCTCCTAGAAACCCTATACAGGGTTGTTATGGGTTGGAATCAACTCAATGGCACTTAACAACAACAACAAAACTAAGTTCCATTTCAGAAGAATTAATCACTAAACACTCTACAAATAGCAATGAAACATTGTCTGATACAATACGAGAAGATGAGCCCCTCAAGTTGGAAAGCACTCAAATTATGGCTGAGGAAGAGCTGCCTCCTCAAAGTAGAATGAATGGAGCAAAGCTTTCGGGACCTTCATTTATTAACGGGGCATGACTCAAAATGAGAACAAACAGCTGCAAACACCCATTGGTAATCAGCATGTGGAATGCAGCCGTCCAGTGGTCACAGAGACAGGTTTACAGAAGCCTTGCTTGAAACAAGCCCATGCATGAACTGGAGCCCTTGTAGCAATATTTTTCCCCTTACCCTCGTAGTCTGAAAGATCAAAACCAGGTAAAATATCATGTTATAAGAAATCTACAATCTTACCTCCATCAAAACAAACAGTGCAGCAAAGAACAGAAGTGTCGCCCATTCCACTCTGTGTAGAATGATCTCGAAATCCTGTTTATCAGCTAAAATGAGCAACCAGAGGGCACCCATAATAGCAATCCACCCTGGAAGTAAGTAAATGGACATGGTAGTTAAAGATCAAGCTCCAGATGCAGCTCAGTTCTTAACACACCAACTACAGTTTCATTTCTAATGGCCTTTAAAAAAAAAAAAAATCAGCATAGCCAATATACAGTACACTGAACATAGTAACAATTGACAATTTAAAGTTGGACTTGTGCCCACTCATGAACCCATCACTGTGGTCAGTACAGGAACTTTGCTGGAGCCCATGTTATTGTACCCAGCCCATTCTCCTCGACTCTTTGTGCTATCACTTGTCATAGTATTGCATTGTGGTTTCGAATCGCATTTCCCAAACAATCAGTGATATGGAGTGTTTTTTCATGTGCTTATTTGCTATCCACAGATCTTCTTTACCAAAGTGACTGATACAATCTTCTGCTCCTTTTACCATCTTGAAAGTACATGAAATCCAAAATAAGCAGAAAATAATAAATAAGTAAGAAAAAGCTGGGATCAGAAATCAAGAAAAATATTGTGTTAAGTTCCATTGTTGTTAAGTTCCATCAAGTCAGTTCTCACTCATAGTGACCTTCCAAGAAGCAGCTGGTGTGTTTGAGTGCCGACCTTGTGGTTGGCAGGCAAGTGTTTATTCTACAGCATCAAACCAGGACTCCAAGAAAAATATTAGAGTATTAATGCTACAAAAACTTGGTTCTTTAAGAAGATCAGTAAAATTGATAACCCTTTAGTTAGCCAGTGGTGGTGGTGTGCCGTAGAGTCGGTTCCAACTCATAGTGACCCTTAATAGGGTTTCTGAGACTATAAATCTTTACAGGAGCAGAAAGCCTGATCTTTCTCCCACTGAACCACTGGTATTTTTGAACTGCTGACCTTGCGGTTCGCAGCCCAAATCATAACCACTGCACTGTGGAGAGCTCCTTTTAGCCAGGAAAATAAAACAAAAAAATGAGAAAAACAAAAATTACCAACGTTCATGCAATAAGGTCAAAACTGCAACTAGATTCTACAAACATAATTGTGTACTAGTCTTCTGTTGCTTCCACAACAAATTACTACAGACTTAGTGGAGTAAAATCCCAGCCACTCATTACTTCACAATGTTTTATTAAGTCTTTTGTATGCTGGGCTTTGCTGAGTGTCTACTTAGCGTCTCATAAGACTCTAAGTAAATCAAAGTTAAGAACTGGTGGGCCCATGCTCCTTTCTGAAGCCTCAAAGAAACAATCTGTTTCTTTTCTCACTGGCAAAATGAAGTTCTTTACAAAGTGCAGAATGGAGGACCCTTGCTGGCTGTCACTCGAGTTTTTTCTCTGATTCTAGAGGCTTAGCTCATGGCCCACTACTTCATCTTCAAAGTCAGCAACAGTGGTTGAATCCATCTCACACTTCAAATCTCTGCAGCTTCTTTGTCACATCTCTGTGATTGGTTCTTCTGCATTCTTACTCCACTTTAATGGCCCACATGATTAGCCCATCTGGACAACCCAAAGTATATACATAATCTCTCAATATTATGGTTTATACTCTTAATTCTAGCTGCAAAATCCTTTTTAACATGTAACATACATAATGTGTTAAGTGCTGTCGAGTCAGTTCCAATTCATAGTGACCCTGTGTAGGATTTCCAAGGAGTGGCTGGTGGGTTTGAACCTCCCACCTTGTAGCTCAAAGTGACCGCCCAGTCCATCATAGATAAGGTTTGAAAACTTTTGGAGGATGGAAGCATTATTCTGACTTTAAACATTTGGTAGAAGTCACCAGTGAATCAGTCTGGGTCCAACATTTTTTTTATTGGCAGTTTTTAAATGAATGGATCAATTTTATCTTTTGTTAAGGGTCTGTTTAAATTTTCTACTTCAATCTGTGTTAGTTTACGTAGAAAGTGTGTTTCTAGAAATTTGTCCATTTCTTTTAAGTTTTCAAAATTGTTGGAATACATTTTTTCATAATATTCTGTTGTTATTCTTTTTTTTTTCTATCGATTCTACTATATCACCCAATTCATTTCTTATTCATGTTATTTAATTTTTTTCCTTCATTTCCTTTCTTAGATTTGTCAGCAATTTATCAATTTTATTAATGATTTCCAAAAATCAACTTCTTGTTTTACTGATTCTTTCTACTGGTTTTCTATTTTGTTTATTTCTGCACTCATCTTTATTATTTCTTTCCTTCCAATGACTAAAGGTTTACTGTACTGCTCTTTTTCTAATGTTGGATTAAGGTGTTGATTTTGTTCCAAGATGTATGCATTATTGCTATATGTTGGCCTCTGAGCACTGCTTTTACTGTGTCCCAAAGGTTTTGGTATGCTGTGCTTTCATTCTTATTTGGTTCAAGGAATTGTTTTGTTGTTGTTGTTGTTTTCTGGTAGCGTAGTGGTTACGAGTTGGGCTGCTAATTGCAAGATCAGCAGTTTGAAATTATCAGCTGCTTCACAAGAGAAAGATGAGGGTTTTTGCTCCCGTAAAGGTTTACAGGCTTGGAAACCCTATATAGGGTCGCTATGAATCAGAACCAACTCCACAGAGTATACTATTACCCAGTAGTTTTTAAGATTTTTTTTTCCCTTGATCTTACTTTTGCTGATTTCTAATTTTATAGTGTTGAGATCTGAGAAGATGCTTTGTCTTATTTCTATGTTGTTAGTGACCTAACATGTTCTATTCTGGAGAATGGCCCATATGTGCTGGAAAAGACTAGATGTTGTATATTCTATTCTTGTTTGATGGATTGCTCTGTATATGTCCATGATGTGATCAAGTTTACTGTATATGTTGTTTAGTTCTTCTGTATCTTTAATTGAGTTTCACTGGAGAATTCTACCAAACAATCAGAGAAGAGCTGACACCAATTCTAATCAAATTATTCCATAGTATAGAAAAGGATGCAATACTTCCAAATTCTTTTGATGAAATGTGAATAACCCTGATACTAAAACCAGGCAGACATCACTACAAAAGAAAACCAAATATCAATATTCCTGCAAGTAGAGGTGACAATAAACCATACCTCCTAGGATACCCTCTACTCAACTGGGATCAATAATTCCTTGCAATTACCACACAGAACTCAAACACCATACTTATAGCTAGGGGATTTATTAAAGAAGTTAACGGGTTACAATTCAGGTCAGAAATGCTCAGAGCATAGTTGTTCCTGTCAAGGCAGTTTCTCCTCAGCCATGCTCCCTGTCCTGCCAATGTTACAAAACTCTCTTAGGGTTACTGATAAATACCCACAGGACACACCACTCCACCATCATCCTCAGCCTAAGGATCTCAGCTCTAATTCTGTCAGTAAACCTAGTTCCCCCGATTAAGTACCAGGAGGCACCCCACTTTGGGCAAGTTTCCTGCCCAAAGTCACTCAGCTTTCCTTGCTCCATGAGGTGGGAAGCCCACTGCTCTGTCTTGTGCTCTGGTTCTTGGTTCTACTGTTGCTGCTCCTCTGCCCCTCCTCTGATGACATAGCTTTCTGGTCAGTGTTCTGTTCTTCTGTACATAGCGTCGCTATGTGTAAGAATCGATTCTACAAAACCTAGCAACATGTTCAATTCATAATGTTGTTGTTATGTGCCGTGGAGTCGGTTCCAACTCATAGCGATCCTGTACAGAGTTTCCGAGGCTGTAAATCTTTAAGGGAGCAAAAAGTCTCATCTTTCTCCCATGGAACAGCTGTTAGTTTTGAACTGCTGACCTTGCAGTTCACAGCCCGATTCGTAACCACTATGTTACCAGAGCTCCTTATAGTCATAATAGAAGAGAAAAAAAAAAAGGAAACAAGGTAAGTGCCCATCAACTAATTAACTGCTCTTGGTAGGTGCCATTGAGTCAGCTCCAATTCATAATGACTTTTGCACAACAGAATGAACCACTGCTCAGTCCTGAGTCAGTCTCACAATTGTTGTAATGTTTGAACCCATTGTTTCTGTCACTGTGTCAGTCCATCTCATTGGGGGGGTCTTCTTTATCTGGTCCTCTAGTGTACCAACCATGCTGTCCTTTTTCAAGGCTGGTTTCTCCTGATAAGCAGTGCCATTTTAACTGGCATAAGATGCTATCTCATTGTCATTTTATTTGCGTTTCTCAACATCTTTTTATGTATGTGTTTGTTTGCTGCTTTAATGTCCTCTTAGGTTAAGTATCTTTTCCTGTTTTTAAATTGGGTTGTCTTTTTGTTGTTGAGTTGTTGGTGTTTTCTAAAGATCACAGAGACTGGCTATCCAATAGATATATCATTGGATAGGTCATTTCTAAAGATTGTTTTCCCAATCAGTAGGTTGTGTTCTTTTGATAAAATCTTTTCATGAGCATTAGAATTTAATTTGGGGGATGTCCCAAGGATCTAATCTATCTTCTGATATTTGTACCTTTGTAGTTATGTTTGTTGGCCTAATTTTTTTTAAAAATATGTCCCACACTTTCCCCCCTATGTTTTCTTCTAGGAAATTTATAGTCTTAGGTATACCACACACTTGTTTTGATCTATTTTCCAATCTTTTCAGAACAGATCCAACTGAAACAAAGAGGATCATAATAGAATGCTATGAAAAATTATACTCCCAACAAATTTGAAAGCTAATTGAATCGACAAATTCCAGGAAACACACTACCTATCTATTCTAACAGAAGCAGACATAAAACAAAAGAAGACACTGAAGATGCCGTCATCAAAAACTTCCAAAGATTCAGAAAAGAGTTGAAAACAATTCTTCTCAAATATAAACAATTCTTCTCAAACATAAAGAACTCCCTAACTCAATCTATGTAGCCAGCATCACCCTGAATGAAAGCAAGCAAAAACATTGCAAAAAGCGGAAATTCAGACCAATATCTCTCATAAATATAGATGCAAAATTTTTCCACAGAGTTCTAGCCACCAGAATTTAATAATATATTTAAATATATGCACCATGATCAAGTGGGATTCATACCAGGAATGCAAGTGTCGTTCAACATTAGAAAATCAATCAATGCAATTTATCACATAAATGAAACAAAGGAAGAGAACCACA